GATGGGCGGCTGGCTGGCCGCGCCGAGGGGCGCCGCCCTGCCGGGCGGCCTGCAGCCGTGGCCGCGCACGCGGCGCCGGCCCGCACGCGGCGCGCCACACCTGCACGCGTGAGCGCCCGCCCACCCCTCCCCCCCCAGCAGCACTCCATGCATGCCCACCTCATCCAGGCCCAGCTCATCTGGCAGCTTGCGCAGCGCCTCGATGGCGGTGTCTCTGTCCTCCAGCCACCTGCGCAGCACACGCAGCGCACGCAGCACGCACAGCACGCGCAACATGGACACACGGACGAGGACGACGCCCCAGCGGCGGCGGCGGCGGCGGGGCCGGCAGCGAAACCGCGCGCGCCGGCGCCCGCGGCTGCTGGCGGGAACGCTCCCGGAGGGGGGCCAGCGGGAGGCTGAGAGATTGGAAGTGGGGAGCCGGCGGCAGCAGCATGCATGCATGCAGGGCAGGGGCAGCCATGCCTGGGGGAGCCCCCGCTCCTAACCCTGCCCCAGCCCCAGCCCCCAACACAGCCGGCGCCGGCCCGGGCAGCGGCCGGCGGCGGCGCACCAGCCCCAGCGCAGCGGGGGGGGGGGGCGCAAAAGCGGCATGCAAGCGGAAGCACGCGCTGCTGCTGCAGCTGCGGCGGCGGCGGCGGCGGCGCGGCTGCTCACGAGAAGCACTTGATGTCTTTGCCCTTCTCCCGCCGGTCCAACGAGTTGATGGCGGCGAAGGCATAGCCCATGGCCAGCGCCTGCTTGGTGTGGGATACCTCCTCGGGCAGGCCTGCGGGCGGGGCGTGGAGGCGAGCGGGGCAGTGGAGGCCGCGGGGAGGTGGGCGGCGCTCCGCGGCAGCCGCACCTGGCTGGACACCTGGCCGCGCACCTGCCCGCGGCCGGCAGGCATGCAGCCGCCCGCCCGCGGCCTGCCCCGCTGCCCCGCCCGCCGCTGCCTGCCTGCTGCCCCGCGGGCCGCCCCGCCACCCGCCGGCCCACGCACACCCCTCCCTCGCCCGCGCAGCCACACAACCACCCGGCCGCCGCCTCACCTCGGCACTCGGGGCAGGCCTCCTGCTCGGGCCAGAAGTCGTACGCGTTGTGGTAGCAGCCGTGGAAGAAGACGAGCAGGCCCTTGGCGTCCTGCGGCACCTCGTAATACACCTCCCGCCCCTCCACGGTCGCCGTGCTGGGCGTCAGCAGCGGCGTGCCCTCCGCATTGTCGCTGTACGCGGGGGGGGTGCCGTCGCCGTCGCCGCCGTCCTCGTCGCTGGCGGTGGTCAGGGTGGAGTTGGTGTCTCCCAGGTCGACATCCGAATCCACCAAGTCGCCGTCGTCTGGGGTTGATGGAGGTGCGGGAGGGGGCGCGTCGTCGCCGTCGCCACCGTCGGAGGCTTCTGGGCTGGGGCTGGGGCTAGGGCTGGGGCTCTCGTCCTCCTCGTGGTTGGCCGCCGCCAGGCGCGGCCCGGCGGACAGCAGCAGCAGGCCGAGAAGGAGCAGGGCGGCGGTGGCGGCGCCGCCGCGGCGGCGCGCGGGCGGCGGCATGCCTGGCTACGGCCTGGCAAGTCGGCAATCCGGCTTGGCACGCACGGTGACCAGCCAGGATCGCGGAGAGGGGCGCTTGGGAGCCGTGGCGGGGCTGCAGCAGGCAGCGAAGGCGGACAGAGTTGAAACCTGGCGCACAAAGGCGCACCCGCCAGTGACGCCTGCCCCGCAGGCAACAGGCTGCTGCATTGATTGGTCGCAGGTAGCGGGGCGCCCAGGGCACATAGCACAACCTCGCCCCCGCCCCCGTCCCCCCCCGCCCACATGCCAGTCGCTCCCACCTTCAAGGAAGCCTGCTAGCCTGCAGGAGAGGCACGTCGATCGTCAGATCAAATGCGAAAGCAGGGGGGACCGAGGAACAACGCGGTTGAGGTCAGGGCAGGTCTGCCAGACGTCTGTGGGTGTTGGGGCAGTAGGATTCCGGACGTCTGCGCCCCCCAATTGCGGACCTTGCAGCGGCAAGGGAGCTTTGAGAGGATGACTGAGGTGGGTATTCCGTTGGTGGGGCCCATCCCCTGCCAGACGACCTGGTTCTGGAGGTCCCGCCGGAGCGGAGGCGGAACCGGCGGGAGCCGAGCCTGCAGGCCAGCTGGCCCACTGACTGAGAGTCACCGGTTACATTCGGGTCACATCAGGATGTGCCATCACAGCATGTATGGGGGATTCAGATGGCAGAGGCGCGGCGGTGCAGGGCAAGCGGGGCGGGCAGGGTGGTGGGTGCCGCCCCAGCGGCTGGCGGCAGCCGGCGAGGGCGGCAGCGGTGGTCGCCACCGAGGGAAGAGTACAGCAGTGCAGTCATACAAAGCAAAACTGGGTGCACGCCAGGTACGGAGTGCACGCGGCGCGGAGGGGGCCGTCTCCTGCTTCCCAGCAGCCGCCTCACAGGGAGGTGTGCTGCGGCGCCACCCCGAGCGCCTCACGCGCCCCCGGCAGCGCCTCGCCACGCGCGCCTGCCGCCGCCGCCGCCGCGCGCGCCGCCGCCCGCTCCTCCGCAGCGTGCGCCGCGTCCTTGTAGCCCATGCGCCCCGGCGCGTACGCGGCGCGCCAGGCGGGGAAGGTGATGGCGGCGGTGGGGTTGGCCTTGAGCCACGCCACGTACGCGGCATACAGGTCACCCCAGTTGTCCCGCTCCCCGGTGGTCGTCGCCAGCTGCTCCGCCACCTGCAGCCAGGCCAGACCCAGGGCCGGGCAGGGTGTACAGCTCAGGACTCGTTGGTCAACGAGCAATACCACCAGCAGGCAGCCCTCCCGGGAGCCAGGCGCTGCCACCAGCAGGTGGCGGTCCTGCCACTGGGCAAGGGCACAGACATCAGGGGAGCAGCACAGTGCGCCGGGGCGAGCGCCGCCCCCCCTCCCCCACCTGCTTGGCCGCCTCCTTGAGCGCCTCGTCGTCCTGCATCTCCGGCTGCTGCTGCCGGTCGGCCGACAGCGTGGCGGTCTGCCGCTTGATCTGCGCGGCGCCGCAGCACGCACACCAGGGGCGGCATGAATGACTGGGGGCAACACACACACACACACACACACACAAAGGTGGCACTTGCTACACAGCTTGCGCAGCCATCGCCGGCAGCCTCGTCCCACGCAGGGCCAGGGACCGGCGCCGGGCGGCGCCAGGCAGGCACCTGCAGCTCCCGCTCGAGCTGGTCGATGGCGGCGGTGCCTTCCGACTCCAGCCACGCCAGGCTGGCGGCCAAGTGGTCCCCCACAATCTCGTGGGTGGCCCAGGCCAGGTTCATTTGCTCTGTGGAGGCGCGCAGGCCAGGTCGCATGGGCCAGGAAGGAGGGCAGGCACGCGTCAGCCGGCGCTCACGCAGCACAGGTGTGTGCAGGCAGCCGCCGAGCAGCGCCAGGCGCGGGGGGTGGCGGCCCTGGGCGCTCACCGCTGATCAGGGCCCAGTCGGAGGCGGGGCCCGCGGTCTCGCCGGTGTCAGGCTCCAGCTCAGGCAACACCTCCGCCAGCTGGTCCCGCCACGGCTGCACCACAGGTTGACAGCTTCTGAGAGGCAGGCACGCATCCACCCGCATTGTGTGGCAGGTGTCGTGCATGCGCACACATACCGCAGGACCCCCGCACGGCTATAGCGTGCTGAGAGCCCCGATGGGGCGGAAGACAGGGAGAGAGGAGCAAGCGCGTGCACGGGGCGGGGGCGCCGCCAGCTGGCGCCAGCTGGCGCCGGCCGTACCTGCGTGGTGTACCGCGGGTCGGAGGTCACCATGCCCGCGTCGTCGATCATGCCGATCTGGTGCAGCCCGCTCACGATCCGGCGGGACAGCTCGGGCGAGATGAACTCAGAGCGGTCGGAAAAGAAGGAGCGGGTGACGGGGCGGGGGTCCACCTGCACAGCAGGCGCAGCAGGCACAGCAGGCACAGCGCGCCGAGCCATCAGCCACACCGGGCAGGCCATCGTGCCGCGCGTTCCCGGCAGAGAGGCTGGGAAGCGGCAGGCAGCTGTGAGCGTGCAGCCGGCAGGCCTTTTGGTGCAGAGGAGGGGGAGGGCGCCACCTACCGCAATCTTGGCGGTGGGCACGCTGTTCTCCATGAGCTTCTGCATGCTCTGCGCGATGCGGGCTGTCATTGCTGCAAGGGATGGGCACAGCAGCAGGCAACGCCTCAGCCTGGCGTTTGGCCTCACACAGATGCACTGCACGCTGGGGTGCGGCCAGTCGGCAGAGGGCCACTCGCAGGTGCCCACGCCAGGCCCAGCCTGCCCAGCCAGCTGCCCAGCCAGCTCGAGCAGCTGCCCCACAGCCAGCGGCAGCGGGCTCACTGCGGTCTCTCTGCATGTCGATGAAAATGGTGGGCGGGTAGGTGGCCCCCAGGTTGTCCACAGGGAAGGTCTCGTAGGTGGCGCCCAGCACCTCTGCAGCCAGGGCAGGCCCCAGCCAACGCCAGGCCGCAGCAAAACGGTCAGGCCGCATCCGGGCCGCAGCAAAACGGCGCCCAGCTCAGCCCGCACCAAGCCTGTGCTGCATGGCGCGCGCCGGCAGCGGCGGGCCACCGCGGGCGGCGGGCGGGGCGGCTTGAGGCAGGGCGGCGCCGCACCCGAGATGATTCCGTTGACGCGGGTGAGCTTGGGCAGGCGCAGCACAAAGGAGGCGCCAGCGGAGATGCCCAGCCCAAAGACGGGCAGCGCCTGGAGGCTGTACTGCCTCATCCAGTTCTCCAGCACATACTTGACTCCCCACTTGTCCTCCCCATACCTGCAGGCGGCGGTACCGTGGGGATCACATGATGAGATACCAGCGGCCCCATGTGCGCCCAAAGGCCAGCGGCCTGGACCCTGGGCCCCGGTCACGCAACCATGAGCAGCACACATCAGCACACGGCCGCGCAGTTGCTGCGGCTGCGTGCCGGCGGCGGCGGCTGCCAGTCTCACGAGTAGCAGCGGCTCATGGGGTCCCGATCCTTGGAGTCAACAGCCAGCACGGCGTAGCCCCGCGCCAGCGCCTGCTTGGTGTGAGACACCTCCTCGGGCAGGCCTGCAGGCAGGCAGGCAGGCAGCCCACTGCGCTCAGCCAGGCGCATACTCGCAGCGGCGGCGGTTAGTGTCAGCGGCGTGAGGGCGGCGCTCGGGGGTGCCGGGCCAAGTCCCCACCTGAGCACTCGGGGCAGGCCTTGCTGGGTGGCCAGAAGTCGGCGGCGTCGTGCACGCAGCCGTGGGCCATGAAGAGCACGCCAACAGGGTTGTGAGGGATCTCAAAGTAGAACGTCCGCCCCATGACCTCGCCTCGGGTGGGCGTGAGCAGGCTGCTGCCCTCCATGTCTGTGTCGCCACCAAGCTTGACGGCCGCGTGAGCTGCCAGGGGCGCCGCCGCAAGGCCCAAGCACGCCACCACGGCCAGGGCAGCGCTCCAGGCCGCCCGGTGCTGTTGCCGCGGCAGCATGCTGCTGCTGCTGCTGCTCGTCCCACGCTGCCGGGGCGTCGCCGCCCGCCGCCAGTCGGGGGTGCTCTTCTCTGCCGTCGCGGCTGTGCGGCGGCCCGAAGAGGTTGTAAATGCTCCCTGCACGCCTGCCACAGCCTCCTGCGGGCAGCGGGGGACGAGATTGCGTTGGATTGAGGGCGCAACTGTCTGGGTAGCTGGGGGTTGCTGGGGCGATCCGACGCCTTGGACGGTGATATTTGGCGTCATAAGCTCGGTAAAAGCGTTGCAACATGGCCACCGCGCCCAATGGAGGGGCCCTGGCGACATCTCGTTTCCACATCGCACCTGCTCCTCTGCGGCGCCCGCCGTTCGGCTCTGAGCTACTGCTACAGAAGAAACAGATCGTTTGCTGCTTCCTGCAAGGGAACAGGGAAGGGTGCGCTCGGCACCTAGCATGCCCAGCATGGCGCCGGCGCCCGGCCAGCTGGCAAGCGTGTCGCAGTGGCGTCAAGTCAGTTGTCCAAGCACCCTTACTGTTTGAGAGCACTTCCTGCAGGTCCGGTGGAACCTTTGGCATGCCAGGGGCGATGAGATTGCCGGGGTTGCATTGTGAGGAGGGATGCCGGTCCCGCCTCCCGCTGTTGGCGCTGACCTTGAGCGCTGTCCTGGGGTCACTCATCCTTCTCTGTCCTGCACTCCACCCATGGCTGCCGCAATGGAAGACACGGCCACGGGCTTCGAATGGCTGGAGAATGGCCGCGGGCTGAGGTTGTTCGTGAGGGTGTGGGAGCCCCGTGAAGGTAACTTGGCTCTCAGATTTTGACGCAGCGCAGATGTTGACCGCAAGCCCGAGAGCTCGCTGATGCCACGAGCCTCCGACACTGCCCCTTCCCCGCAGGCACGCAGCTCCAGGCGGTGCTCGTGGTTGTGCACGGATTCTCCTGGCACAGTGTTTACTTCAGCGAGCTGGCCTCGCAAGCTGCCCAGCAAGGTGCGCCCTCGTCCCGCCCCACTGCCGCCGACGGCGGCAGCGGCGCCCTCTTTGTAAATGCTTCTCTGGCCCGCCCCCACCCCTTGCAGGCATCGAGGTGGTGGCCTTTGATCTGCAGGGCCACGGCCGTAGCGAGGCGCTGGGCGGCATGCGCGGCTATGCCCGCCGCATGGCAGACTTGTGCGCCGATGCGGCGCAGGTGCTGGACTGGGCGCGGCGGCGGCGCCCTGCAGTGCCCGCCTTCCTGGCGGGGGAGTCGATGGACGGCACCATTGTGCTGCGCCTGCTGCAGCTCCAGCCCGACCTGCAGCGGCAGGTGGGCGGCGCAGGCCTGCACGGGAGGGAGGGCGGGAGGCCCTATTCCACGGTTGCAGGCTGGTAGAGCCCAGTGCCCCCGCTTGCCCTCGGCTTTCACCCAAGCCTGACCTGACCCGCAGCCGGGCCGCTCCCACCCCCCACCCTTCACGCCCGCAGCTGGCGGGCCTGGTGCTGCTGGGCCCCGTGGTGCGCGTGTCGGCGGCGGTGCTGCCGCCGGCCCCCGTGGTGTGGGTGCTGCGCCTGCTGGCGCGACTCTTCCCCACGTGAGCCCCCGCCGCCGCTGCTTTCTGGCTGGCACGGCGGGAGGCATGCTCACTTGGCTTCTTTGTCTGTTTAAGAAGCTAGGCAGCCACCTGCCCACCCCTCCCCTTCCCCTGCCCCCGCCCCTGCCTGCACACAGCCTGCCGGTGCCAGACGACAGCATCCGCCAGGGCTTTGAGCGCGCCTTTGGCGACCAAGAGTTTGCGGCCCGGGCCAAGCAGGCGGGTGGCTAGCTCCCCACGAGGACGGAGATCCCTCTGCTCCCAGCCAGCACACCGTACTGTCCTGCCGCAGCCTGAAAGTAATCGATGCTTGTGTTTGTAATCAATGCTTTTGTTTTGCCCGCTCCTTTGCCCCGCGCGCCTGCCGCCCCTGCAGGACCCTCTGGTCGTGTTCGACCGCCCACGCATCGGCTTGTCCGCGGAGGTGTTGGCTGCCTGCGACGCCGTGGCAGCAGGGCTGGAGGGGCTGCACCTGCCGCTCCTGGTGCGCCACCGCGCCTCCCACGCCCGGCTCGCACCCCTGGCCTGCTGTGCCTGCTGCTCCTGTTGGCGCCACAACGTCAGGCGCGCTCGCTGGAGTGGCTTGGGCCCCCGCCTCTCGCAGTCTCTCACAGCCTTGCTGCTGTGCTGGCTCTTGTGCGGCATGCCATGCGCGTTGAGTGCAGGTGCTGCACGGCGAGCTGGACTCACGCTCCGACCCGGCCAACAGCCTGGAGCTGGGGCGGCGCGCCGCCAGCGCCGACAAGACGGTGCGGGTGGTGGAGGGCGCGCAGCACCAGCTGCTGCAGGATGTGCCGGCCATACGGGCCGCGGCAACGGCGCAGGTGGTCAGCTGGGTGCTGGCCCGCGCGGCGGGCGGCAGCGGCGGCAGCGGCGGCGGCGGCGGCTGAGCCTGCCAGGAGATGGCGGCGGCCCCAGCGCTGCCTGCTCCATCCGCTCTGAGCCTGCTCTGGCCTGAGGCCTGACACACATCAGTCGGTTTCAGGCATCAAGCTTGTCTTTGAGGCATTCAATGGACTTCAGCCCACACAGGCGGCTGCCAGTGGGAGGCCTTGGCTGCCCTGCCACTGCCCCAGCGTGCAGCGCCCGCCATCACCGCCGCCGCCGCATGGGCAGCATGCCCAGCCGCCGCGGCGACAGGTCTCGCAGCCTGGGGCCCGGCAGCCTCGCCGCCGCAAACTGCTGCGCCAGGCCGGCCAGCGGCAGCGTGCCGCGCGCCTCCAGCCACGCCAGGCAGGCGGTCAGGTGGTCCCCCACAATCTCGTGCATCGCGTACGCGCGGTTCAGCTCCTCTGCAAGGCAGGGAGGGAGGTACGGGTGGCGACCAGTCGTTGTTTGTATTGGTAGGAAGTTGGCGCGTGGCGGGCGCCAGAGAGAGCACACTCTCATTGGGGTGCGCCTCGTGGCGGGATTGCCGGGCGGATCATGGTGCATGCGCTTTCCAAACCAGCGCTGCTCCCTGCCCTGCGCCTTCAGGGCCGTCGCGAGGACAGGCGTGCATGCCGAGCCACCTGCTCACCTCCCACGTGCGAGGCGTCCGCCACGAGCGAGTCCCCAGCGCCAGCCGCCAGCTCGGGCACCGCCGCCGCCACGCGGGCGCGCCACGGCAGCGCGGTGTACCTCGGGTCCTGCAGCAGTACGCCCGCCCCGTCCAACAGCCCGGTGGCGCGCAGCGCCGCCACCACCTTGGCGGCCAGCTCAGGTGAGAAGAGGGCGGAGCGGTTGGAAAGAAAGTCTGAGGTGAAGGGCTGGGGTTGCACCTGGCAGGGGCGGCAGTGGCGGGGAAAGGGCGGCGGGTGGTTGCGGAGGCGGGGTCGAAGCATGCAGCTGAGCATGTGCTGCAGCCCCAACACCCCGCCAAAAGCGATGACTGCAACCCCTCACCAGCAGCACATCGGTGGGCACGCCGTAGCGGCGCAGCAGCAGCTGGTTGTCCGCGATGCGCGCGGCGGTGCGCGCATCCCGCGGCATGCTGACGTAGGCGGTGGGCGGGAAGGCGGCGCCCAGCTCCTCCATCCCCCACGCATCCAGCTGCACGCCCAGCACCTCTGCACGTCAGTCGGGCAAGGCACGGCCGGCGTGGCGGCAGCGGCGGCGGGCTCAGCCTCGGCGTGGGCTGGGCCGGGGCGGGCGGGCGGGCGTGGCAGCTTTAGCCACGGAGCTGCATGCAGGCGCTGGCGCTTTGTGGGGCGTGACAACCACCAGCCGGCTCCTGCCCAGGGGCCAGCCGCCGCCGCGCCGGACGCGCACCTGAGATGACGCCGTGCACCCGCAGCAGCCTGGGCAGCTTGAGCACCAGGGAGGCGCCCGCTGAGACGCCCACCAGATACAGGGGCTTGGCCTGCACACAGAGGGGCCCAGGCCGCGGTGGGGCATTGGACGCTGCCAAGGTGCTAGTACTAGGACTAGTCATAGTGAGGCCGGCGCCCGGCAGCGCAGCCCCCGGCTGCAGCCCAGCCGCCCCCCAGCGGTGCACCCACCGCCCGCTTCAGCCGCCTCAGTTTTTTGGCGCACCGTAAAGTTGTTCTGCTTGATCCAGTGCTGCAGTATCGCCGCCACGTCCTCGCCGTCCGCATGCCAGCCGAAGCAGCGGGTGGCGTCAGAGGCGTCCACGGCAATGGCGGCATAGCCGCGGGCGAGCGCCTGCTTGGTGTGCGCCACCTCCTCTGGCAGGCCTGCAGGCAGGCAGGCACTGGCTGATTCTTGTTGCTCAGTCTGGCAGCAGCAGTCTCAGGCAGCTGTGCGGAGTGGCCACCACTGCCTGCCAGCGCACCATCGCACTCTGGGCAGGCTGAAGCGTCGCGGGGCCAAAAGTCGGATGCATCATGGGCGCAGCCGTGCATCATGGCTAGGACACCCAAGATTGGGGCTGCTGGTATCTCGTAAAAGACTTGTCTGCCTCGCATGGTGAATGTGCTGGGGGTGAGCAGGGGCTGGCCGTAGGCATTCACCGCCCCGTCACCGACAGGCGCAGCGGCGGCGGCGGCGGCGAGGCAGGCGGCTAGCAGGGCCGCTGCGGATGTCCGCTGGTGTAGCGCCATTCGTCGGCACGCTTAGCCAAGGGCTGTCTTGGTTGTCGTTTGAGCGGAGGCCTCCGTGATGCAGATGGCAAGGGGTGCACAGCCGTGCGGAGCCACCACAGTGAATTGGGCAGCTGCTTTGGTGTGAAGGACGGGCGAGGCGTGAAGAATGCCAGAGTGCCCGGATTTACGCGGTGCCGGCTGGCGAAGCCCGTGCTGTGGTCACAGCGCATCCGTCTGGTAGGCGGGGGGGATATGCCGCCGCCCACCACCATGGTCGCAAAGGGTCCACACCCTGTAAAGGCGCGTCAATACCACGTCCGTGGCACTCCTTACAGCCTAAACAGGGCGGCAGCAACCCCGTTGGTGCGGTTGCGGCATGGCGGTTGCGGCATGGCGGATGGGGCTGCCAGGCACCAACCTGCCGTGCACGGCAGCCCCCCTCTTAATTGCCATCATCTGCTGCCCCAGGCGCCTCAAGTTGAACCAATGTGCACCGCTGGGTGCAAGCAGCTTGCGCCGGCTCCTCCCTCCCTCCCTCTCCCGCCCCATGTTGTGCGCTGCGTGGCTCGCATGAGAGGAGTGGCTCCCTGCTGCCCACGCCTCTGGGCATCGGAGGATAGATACAACACTTCAGCGTTGTTGGCATGGAAACGTCCAAGGGAGATGGTTCCAGGGGCTGTGACCGATGCTTCCAGGGGCTGGAGCCGGGCCCCTGGCGGCTCAGGGGGCGTAGCGGCAGCGGCGACAGCCACCCTCCCCCGGGCCCCAGCATCCACTGTCCGATCGCATCCCATCCCTTCTGACTGACCTGCATAATCAGGTAACGCTGTGAAAGCACAAGGCTGCGGTTCCTGTCAGTACGATTGAAGGAGAAGCTGAGATGCAAGAGCAGATAAAAACGTAATCGCGCGGCCCGCCGACTTAGGAGTCATTCAGGAGTCAGAGGACTCCGGGCTATCTCACACCCTGTCGAGGGAGGGCCTGCCCTAGCGCCGCCCTACCCCCGCGGCACGGTGGTCTCCCTGGAGCACTGCCTTGCTGCCTGATCGGCCGCCGAGGCGCCGCATCAGTCGGAGGACGCTTGGAGGCGCATACCTGCAGCTTGCAGCTGCTCCCCCCGCTAGCCGCCTTGCATCCGTCCTCGCAGGCCCCTGGCGGTTCCCCAGCCTCGCAGGGTGAGCTGGGCATAGCAGGAGGGCGTGGTATGTGTGTACGCACCCTGTGCAGAGCCCGGCCGCGACGAGGTCCTAGCGGGACGGGGGTCCTCGCGTGAACCCCGTGCGGCCCGCCCCCCTGATTCTCGCCCTCCCAGCACATCCTGCTGACTGCGCGCAGGTCACACCATGCGGGCTTCGGCCCTGGCATTCGCCCTGGCGCTGCTGTGCCTGGCGGCGGCGCCTGCCTGCGCCCGTCACCGCGCCGTCAGGCACGCCACGGCCGCCCACAGGGGCCGCGCGCTGCAGCAGATCGACCCCAGCTGGAACGTCAGCAAGGGCAACGACGGTGCCGCCATGACAGTCCTTTCCTGCCCCACGCCTGGCACCTTTGTCAGGATCGAGGCGACTTCGTACACCGGCTCGGCCACCTGCGCCTGCGACGCTGCGGGCATGGCCAACATCCGCACCGCATGCACCGGCAAGAGCAGCTGCGGCATCCTGTGGGGCGGCGGCGCCGCCAACCCATTCTTTAACCCTGCCGCAAGCTACATGTGCACCTACGACCCGTGAGTGGCTGGCTGCCAGGATGGCTGGCCCGCTCCTCGCTGGCCTGGCTGGGCTGGGCCCGCTTCCCATCCCGCACCGGCGCCGGCCTGCTGCCATGCATCAGCATACCGCCGTCACGCACGTGCCGCGACGCGTTGCATGCATGCATGCATGCAGGTGCGTTTTCGTTGTCAAGCTGGGCGTCGTCCACTGGACTTGTGCGGCGATGAGCTCCAGTCCCATTACCACAGACGGCGGCACCATCACCGTGAGCTGCCCCGCCAACTACAAGATTTCCATCCAAAACTCCCTCTACTGTGAGCAGCTAGCCGGCCTGCCGCATGTGGCTGCCGACGCTGCACCGTCCAGCGGGTACACATGGCAGGGCCCCGGGGTGTGGCTGCGCACGCATTGCTGCCCTTGTGTTGAAACTTGCCCTCACGGAAAATGCTGTGCTAATGCTGTGCTGCTCTGCGGTACCTTCCGCTGCACCGGCAGGCTGACGTGGGGCCTCCCTGCGTGCCCCGCCGCACCGGCTGACCCGCGCCGCCCGCCGTGCCCCGCACCGCCTTGCAGATGTGCAAAGCACGTGCAACGGCTGCCTGAGCTCCACCGCCAGCGTGTCCACCGCCTGCAACAACCGG